ATCACCGCGCACTTGCTCTTGGAGATGGCGCCGGTGAGCTTCCGCATCGACTGGCTCATGAGCCGGGCCTGGAGGCCGACGTGCGAGTCCCCGATCTCGCCGTCGAGTTCCTTCTTGGGCACCAGGGCCGCGACCGAGTCGATGACGATCACATCGACCGCGTTGCTCTTCACGAGCATCTCGGTGATGTGCATCGCCTCTTCGCCGTGGCTCGGCTGGCTGACCAACAGCGTCTCGAGGTCCACGCCGAGCTTCTTCGCCCAGCTGGGGTCGAGGGCGTGCTCGGCGTCGATNNNTCTTCTGGGCCTCGGCCACCACGTGCAGGGCGAGGGTCGTCTTGCCGCTCGATTCGGGGCCGAAAACCTCGATGATCCGGCCTTCGGGGATGCCTTGGCCGCCGAGGGCCATGTCCAGCGACAGGCTCTGCGTCGAGATGCCGTTGATCCGGCGGTCCGAATCGGCGCCGAGGGGCATGATGGCGCCCTCGCCGAACTGCTTCTCGATCGCGGCGACGGTGTGACGCAGGTCGTCGCTGTTCTCCAGGACAAGGTCCATGACCGACTTCTTGGCGTCGGCTTTCGGGCCTTTCTCTTTGGAATTGCCCTTCTTAGCGGCGGATTTTTTAGCCATCGAGGTGTTCTTCGAAGCGGGGGCGTTCTTGGTGGCGGCGGCGCTGTCGGTAGTCTTGGCAGCGGAACCGTTAAGCGTGGCGGTGGCGACCATCGGGCTTCGGCCCGGCGGCGACCGGGCCCCTTTATGCGGGGAGAGTTAGCGAATGGCAAGCGGACGCCGGACGAGCCGGCCCCAGGCAATCCGTCGGTGGATTACGGATAACTGTACGCAGGAACAGTATATCGGTGTTCGGGTGTTCATGCAACACTTTTTGGCCACTATCTCCGGGAATTTGCCTCAACCTCCTTCCATCCCCAGCGGACACGTCGCCAGGGGGTAGTACTCCGGACCACCCCGGTAGAGTTCGCTGGAATAGACAACGACTTGGTCCACCGCCAACTCGCCGGCGTCGTAATCGGCAAGGCCCTCCAGGACGCTCACCAGATGCGGAGAACCGCCACCCGCGCCGCGCGGCAGGCGGGCCAGCGTCCAGTGGGGGACAAACCCCCTATTCTCACCCCGCTGCGCCAAGTCACTCAGGGCGTCGTCCAGGTCCGCTTGCAGCCGGCAAACGGCCTCTCCGCCCTCCCGAGCTCCCAGCCAGACCGCTCGCGGGCGCTGGGCGTCGGGGAAGGCGCCAACACCCGCAACGCGGAGCGAGAAGGGCCCGTTCGCTCGGGCGACCCACTCGGTCCGGCTGCAGACCTCGGTGATCTCGGTGTCCGACAGCTCGCCGAGAAACATGAGGGTTAGATGAAGATTCTCCTCGCTCACCCAGCGGGCGCCGCCGAGGTGCGGGCGGAGTCGGCCAATCAGCCCACTGGCGCGGCGGCGGAGGGCGTCATCGGCTTCGATCGCGACGAAGGTGCGGGTTTTACCCATCGAGTGACGTGGTAAGGGGAAGGGGATCGCGGAAATCCGAAGCGGCGGCGATCAACTACGGGGGCTGGGCCCTAGATTTGAAGTGTACCCGACGCCGCCATCGCTTATTTCCGCTACTGCCACGGCTTGATGTCCGCCACCTTCGTCCAACCGACCTCTGACGTCATGGTGGCAGTCATCAACCCCTTGTTGGGTTCGGTGGTCGAGACCTTCAACACGATGCTGGGCAGCAAGGCCCGGCGGGGGGCGCTTGAACTACGCGGCATTGACGCCGAGCCCTACGAGATATCGGCGTTGATAGCGCTATCGGGCGGGACCAAGGGCGTGATCTGCCTAAGCTTCGATCGGCTGACAGCGCTAGAGATCGGCGCGCGGTTGCTGGGCGGGTCGAACTGGAAGCTGACGCCCGCGGTGCTCGATGCGGTTGGCGAGATCGCGAACGTTGTCGCGGGCTCGGCGAAGAGCAAGCTCGAGATGGGGCTCAACATGGGACTTCCGGCGATCGTCCGCCGAGAGAACTTCTGCATCCGTTTCCCGAGCGGTTCGGACCCGATGCGGCTGCACTTCGACTCCGACATCGGACCGTTCTTCGTCGATTTCGGGTTCGTGGTCAGCGGCTTGTAAGGGTTGTAAACCGGCCGCCCAATCAGTGTCAGAACGCCAGCATCCGCTTGTACGCTTCGAGGCGCTCGTCGATCTGTTCGCGCGTCACCTCGGTCATGCGGTGGAGCCCGAAGCCCTCGACGTTGAAGCTGGCGACCACCGTGCCGTAGGCCATCGCCGTCTTGAGCGTGGCCGGATCGACGGCGTCTTGCTCGGCGAGGTAGCCCATCATGCCGCCCGCGAAACTGTCTCCGGCGCCGGTCGGATCGACGACGTTCTCGGTCGGGAAAGCCGGCAGGGTGAACACCTCGATAGCGCCCACCAGGTCGCGTCCGATGAACATCGCGCCGTGCTCACCCTTTTTGACGATCACGAAGCGCGGGCCCATGTCGAGCACCGCATGGCCGGCGCTGACGAGGTTCTGTTGGCCGGTGAGCAGCTTGGCCTCGCTGTCGTTGAGCACCAGGCCGTCGAGCTCGCCGATCAACGCGTCGAGGTCCTTACGGTGCTCGTTGATCCATAGGTCCATCGTGTCGGCGACAACGATCTTGCGATCGAGGGCCTGCGAGAGGACCTTCGCTTGCACCGCGGGGACGCCGTTGGCGAGGAACACGTAGCGTGCGTCGCGGTGCTCTTCGGGGACCACGGGGTCGAACTCGCCGAAGACGTTGAGCTGAACGTCGAGCGTCTCGCGGTCGTTCATGTTGTCGAGGTAACGCCCCGTCCAGCGGAACGTCCGCCCGCCGGCCTTTCGTTCCAGGCCCTTGGTCGAGACGTTGCGCGACTCGAGCAGTTCGACGTGTTCGGCCGGGAAGTCATCGCCGACGACGCCCACCAACCGCACCGGCGTAAAAAAGCTGGCCGCGTAGGAGAAGTGCGTCGCCGAGCCGCCGAGGAGGTCGTCGCG